TTCCTTTGATTTGTACGGGTTGCGTATGCTGCGGATTTCCTTTTTGAATACTAATATCTAATTTTTATGCTAATTCGTGACCTGGTCAACAGTTACTTGTTACAATTCCGACACTTTATACAAATATACGTTTTGTGAGRYTAAGGCTGTTATTTATATGTGATGTATTCTATTGTTCGTTATGATTGACTATACTAATTTGTAGAATATTATTTTATAGCAAATAACTAGGTAGTAATATATTCTATTATTTGTTACGATCGCTAAAATGAATTTGTAGAGTTCATATTATGGTAAGTGTCCACTTGAGATTATAGCTCGAGAGAAAGTCTCGAGATTGATCTCGGGATGTTATCCATTTGAGATCAATCACGGTCTCGAGATAGGTTTTAGAGACTTGAAAGTGACATTAATCTCGAGACCAAGACAATTTCGTGTCGACTAGAGAGTTAACACACACAGTCTTGTGTGTGACTTGACCGCGAGTACACGTGTTTTTTTACAAATTTGAATGTTTTTTCTTTCTTTTTTTACAAAATGGATTCGCATCAGGCCCTAGCTTTTGTAATTGCGCATAATATTATACAAAAACGGAAGCTAAAAGAAAAAAGAAAAAAGAAATGTTGGGTTAGGAAATGGGTGGACCGTCGAAGTGACTTGGGAGCCGCTTCAAATCTTGTAAATGAGCTTCGGTTGGAGGATGCACAGCAGTTTAAAAATTTTATTCGGATGTCTGCAGTGCAATTTGAAATGCTTTTGGATTTAATAAAACACCAGATTGTCAAGCAAGATACACAATTGCGTGAAGCGATTCCTGTTCATGACAGATTAATGGTCACCCTCCGTTTTTTGGCTTCAGGTACGTATGTGGTTTTATATATAAAGTATGTTGTATATGGTATATACAGCGTGTTAAAAATGAAGATCAAATAAATATTTTAGCTCTATAAGTAAAATAAATAAAAACAGAATTCGATTATCTCTATTAACACGGGAGATAATATCGCTCTGTGTAAATCTCCGTGGGACACCCTGCATATATATATACCTACCTATCTATATGTTTTTGGATTTTTTTGTTTCAAGTATCATTTTCTCTTTTAGGAGATGCTTACAGTAGTTTGCAATACCTTTTCCGCATTCCACCTTGTACAATTGGAAGAATAGTTTTCGAAGTATACCAAGCTATTTATGATAATTTAAAGGAAAAATATTTAAAGGTATGTATAAACATGTATTATTATTTTTTTTTTTATTGAACAATTTCTTAATTAATTTTGATTTGAACTTAACATTTTTAACTTTATACTCGTATTTTATTAAATATTAACACTTATTATCACTGTTTTTCGTAACTAGAGTACAAATTTAAATAATTATATTTACTTAAAACAAATCAGTGAATGAATCATAATATTCTTGGGTTGTCTGAGGCTCTTTACTTGTTGACGGAGGAATGTTCTCAGCGAAAGTAGGTGATGGCATAGGCATTGGAGTGGAGCATGATGAAGAATTTGTACTTGAATAGGTAGACCAGTGGCTTCTTTCGTCCATTTCAGCAATATTTGCTATTGATTTACGAATCTCACTTTTCAGTTGCCCTCTGTAGTAATCTGATTCTAAAGATTTTAATTCCAAAGCGACGTAATCTCCAAAGCGATCAAAATCGGTTTTAGGCTTTTTCATAATGTCAATGGCTTCCTTTAAATATGTATCTTCATCATCGTTAGTTTGGGACTGCCTTTTGTTGGAAACTTTTTTTTTACTCGGTGTTGGTTCATTTAGGGTTGGCTCACTCTGCGAACTTTCCAAGTTTTTCTGGATACTCTGAAAAGTAAGAAACTAAAAAATAAAGAATGTGTGTTGTGGTAACAACAAACAAGTAAATGACCTGGGCCAATATAATATATTAATAAAAAAAAAAAATTTGAATTCAATAATAAATCATTATATACGAAGAAAAACGATTTTGAATGGACACGAGTTGTCAGTCTAGCGTTATATCTAAAACCATTTTATAGTAAATCGTTATTTTACACTTGAATTTAAAATTTTAAAATTTCTATAATCTTAAAAATTTAAAACTTAGACGCTCGTAAAATTTTTTTATTGACTTAAGCTATATTTGTTTTTATAATTATTTTAAGCAATAATGTATTTTTATTTCAGTGTCCTTCTAGCACAGAAGAGTTGAAGAAATATGCAGATCAATTTGCATTAAAATGGCAATTCCCACATTGCTTTGKAGCAATTGACGGCAAACATATTACAATAGTGGCTCCACAAAATAGTGGAAGCCTTTACTATAACTATAAGAACACACACAGCATTGTTTTGATGGGAGTTGCAGATGCCAATTATAAATTAATTTATGTTGATGTTGGTTGCAATGGTAGAATTTCTGACGGAGGGGTGTTCAATAACTACTCCCTACACGATGCTTTGGAAAGCAAACAGTTAACTCTTCCCGAACCAGAAGCACTACCTCAAAGACATTTGCCAGTCCATACATAATGGTAGCAGATGATGCCTTTGCTATGACGTCATACATTTTAAAGCCCTATGGGTTCCGAAATCAACCTGCGCCGAACCGAATTTTTAACTATAGACTAAGCAGGGCTCGTCGTATTATAGAAAATGTATTTGGCATTATGTCCAGTAAATTCAGAGTCCTCCATAAACCAATACATTTAGCGCCTCACAAAGTAAAATATGTTACGCTGGCAATATGTGCATTGCATAACTTTTTGATTTCTACATCAAATTATTATTTGTGCCCGGGTTCGGTTGATTCGGAAAATGCTATTACTCGTGAAATTGTAAATGGCGAATGGCGAAATGAACTTCAACCAGAAGGAACATTGTTTCCACTAGAAAGGGGACGGCAGCGGAATTATTCAATATCTCAAAAATATGTGAGAGACGAATTTAGAGAATATTTTATGACAACTGCTGGTGAGGTTCAAAGGCAATATAAATTCATAAGTTGAATAATTATAAGTACATACAATTTTATTGACATAAATACAAATTATTTAAATATTATACTAACCATGTTTGACGTAGTTTTTGTTGGTATAAAGCAGGGTACAATGAACTTCAATGCAGAGAAAAACTTCCATTTACTTTCATATCTGTCATCTGCACCATCACCACTCTTCACCTTTTTCATCTTTTGAAGTTCGTGTGAAACCTGAAAAGTTCAATTGAATAAAAAAAATATTAAACTACTATAATAAACTATTATATAATATTATTAATTATTTTTAAATTATTTTATATCAAATATACAATTTAACAATTAATATACACACCTGATTACGTAAGTTATGTATCTTTCTTTGTACCTCATTTACATCACAATTAAATTTTGTCGCGATTTCTTCAAACGCACTCATTTTCTTGTCACGATTCCTATACAACTTGTGATTAACATTCCACAAAAATTCCTTTTCCTCGTAAAGATTAATTAACTCAAAAATGTCGTCATCTGTCCATTGTCGTGCACTCATTTTAATTTAATTTAAATAAATAATAATTAAAAAAAATTATATATTATGGTATTCCGGTATTTATATATTAACACGGGTGCTCTCAGCTATTCAAACACTGTCGGAAGACTGGAGACTAGATCGCAAGAGCAGGAATGAACGTGTCGACTCGCGACACATGAAGTCTCGGTGATTAGTAATGACTTGTCTCTGCGAGTACTCTCAGGTTCATATACATTTGTGACTTAAGTCTCGAGACTGCTCTCGAGACTTTTTAATTTCAAGTGGACACTTACCRTTATTTCAAACTCTAAAAATAGAAAATACTCCGAGAATTGGATTTTGTTATGCATTCTTTTTCGTATTAGGTATAAAACCGTTCCTTTGAGTAAGTATTAAAAAAAAAGAGATCATATGGATGTATTTTTCATTTTTATTAGATCACCGTCTGCATATGAATTCCTAAGAACACAGCAAATTCTTCCATTGCTTTGTTTTCGTACTGTAAGAAGATACCTTTCACAGGTCAAATCAGAATGTGGGTTTGATGAGAAATTTTTTCAATTATTAAAAAAAAAAATCTATTTTAAGCAATGAACAAAAACACGGAATTTTATTTGACGAAATTATACTTCGTGAAAGTATTCATGTTAACTCGAATACTCAGACATACTCTGGGTTAGAAAATCTTGGAAAAGATTATCCACAAGACCAAATACAAGCTTAAAAGCAAATCATGGTCTTGTGTTTATGTTTCAAAGTCTATCAGCAAATTTTTGTCAACCAATTGGGGTATTTGCTTCAAAAGGGGGTCCATTTCTACGGCCCCCCCACCCGATTTGGAATTTTTGAATTCTGTTTTGACAGATCGTTTGTGCATCGTTTGTGCACGAATGTGCACCAAGTCCCGTCGTTTGTGCACAAATACAGGGGGGATTATCCCTAAATCAAATTCGGGG